CAGTGAATTTGCAGTGACTCGAAGTGAGCAGTGATGCGACATTGTGTGATCTTGTGTTTGTTCGCCCTTCTCAGCATCTACGGTGTTCACGGTGAGTGACGACAGTGAATGCAGTGAATGACTAGATTGATTAGAGCATTTGTGATTCTAATATTGTGTGTGGGTGTGTGTGCGTGTGTATTGCTGTCGACGATTGTAGTGGTATTTGGAGTGGTGGTGATGTAGTCCTTGACGATCGAGTGTTATTGTTGGAAGAGTAATATCATTTGCATTGATGATGTTGATGATGTTGGTGTTAGTGGTGGGCGAGGCAGAGATAGTGGAGTGATTGTTTGTGGTGTTTGTATTGTTGTTTGTAGTTGGAGTGTCAGTATTGGTGATGATATTGGTGGTTGGGTCTCGAGAATTTGTGATAGAAGTGGTACAATCGACAGTGTTTGTTGACGATTTTGTTGTTGTGGTGACTGTGTTGGTGGTAGAAACGATGGTTGGATTGAGAGTAGAAATGGTGTACCCGGTGGTGTTTGCTGTGTGATCGATTGTTTGTAGTAGGCATAGAAGTGTGAGCGATGTCGTTTGTGATCGTTATCGTTATCGTGATTGTGATTGTGAATGTGATTTTGATTTTGATTTTGATAAATATTGTTGAGTGAATAATAATGTAGAAGTGTTGTTGCTGTTGTTTTTGTTGCGATGTTTCAGCGGAGATTTCAGCTGAGAACAGAATGTGTTTTGGAGTGGGAGAGTATTGTGATGGTGCCGGACATAGGAAGTGTTGTCCACCACACAGCTGCAAGCTGATCAATCCACGAGAAGGCGTGTGTGTCAGAGGACGGTGTTTGCAGTCGAAAGAACAATGTGTACGAGGTGAGGATTGCTGCAGTGGACACTGTGTGTTTGGACACTGTAGAGACAAGTAACCAGATGTCTACTGCTACAACTCATGTCAAGTTTCTGCTTGACTAGACAGACGGCCAGTCAACTAACTACACAGTCCACTAAATACACAATCCCTTTCCCATCTTGCTCTTCACACATAGACCTTCCAACCACTCACATGTTCAATCATATCTTCCTTCTCTCATTATAATAAATGTGCTTATTCAAACCAAATCTCTGACTTCTCCTCAATTTCCACACAGTGGTCGGTTGTGTGCGTGTACACGTGAATGGAACACTGACTGTTGATGTTTCAGTCGAAGTGAGTAGTGAGTAGTGTTGAATGGATGTGCTGCTCATTTGAGTGAACGACGATTGACGATTGACAGTGCTAGTGTTTGTAGTATAGGTGGTGGTGTTATTGGTGTTGGTAGTGTAGTGTAGTGTAGTGTAGTGTAGTGTGGTGTGGTTTGACATGTCAAGTTCATATGCCCCATTCTGTCTTTCGATCAGTTTAAAGCCAATTTTTCCTTGTCCTTACTATTGTGTTCACTTAGATCCTGTACTCGCATGTATCGCGTTGACGATTCTAGTAGTTTATTTGTAGGACAAACTAAACCCTACAAAATTTCTACTGTTATTTTAAATGTCTACGTAGAATCATTAAACTGATCGAATTCCCAACTTGTCTTCTCTTTATTCAGATACTCATGTTGATGACCATTCAAATAGGTGTTTCAGAGGTTTAAGTACTCTCAGTTGACATATGATTGGTGCCGTATTTAGTATGGGATGTGTATACATTGACTTGGATTTATTCCAGTAGTTGTGATGCAAGTATTAGTAACAATGAATCAGGGAACGTCATCCTTCGATTAGTGTGAATGGAATGAGTAGAGCTCAATTAATAAAATAAGAATTCTAATCTAGAAGACAGTCTAAATAGAAAGACGAAGTGATTCAGTTATATGAGAAATATTTAGAAAAGTTCTTTTAGGTTTCGATGAAGAAATATTTGTCGCCAAGTCAAATCAAGATTTATAACCATTTGCATTTAAACACACAAACCAGGTTTCGATTGGCTTATAGCAACGTTTGTAGAATTTAATTTGTCCTACAGATAAACTACTAGAACCGTCAACGCGATGCTATGTGAACGCTTTAGTCAGAACAAGGGCAATTCGGCTTTAAACTTTATCTCTTTCTTAACGTGAAAACAATTAGATTAGTACAATAATTAAGGGAATTACAGCCATTAATTGAAACGTTTTCGGACATAGACTTTTAGCTGGTAAAACAACTGGACCTATCAACCCAACGGGGTCAAATACAGAAGCCTCATGCTGGCCCACTTGGTCAGAATAAAACCTTCTAAACGTAACATCTCCTTCAACTGATAATATACTAACTGAGCTTCTTCTGACGTATCAGCACTTGTTAATAAATTGTTAACATAGAACGGTTCCTTCGTTGTCTGTAAAATACATTCGAGAAACCTAGCCTGGTTATCTAAGGAAGCGCAAGTCTGTTTCGCTCTTTCTTCATTTCTTTTACCGATTCAGGCGCTATTGCAAATTTTTCTTCTCTCTGTACACGCTTAACACTTTCCTCCGTGCAGCGTTGGGTATTAATGTTGGCATTACTATTACTATCTATGCTCTCCCTGCTTCCTATGTAACAAGGCATGATGTATCCAGCCACGTCCTTCGACAGCACATGATCTCGGTGCTGGACAGTTCCTTGCTATGACGTTCGTCTCCAGACAGACATCATACAAATGCTTCTTCAGTACAAATTCCATCCTCTCATTAATATTCTTGTAACATCCGTTTTGAATGTCTTGTGTGTGTGTGTGATTCATTTGCTCCTCCTTTTGTGCGTGTTCTATCCAGTCAGGATAGAATAGCGTTCATTTGCTGTGACTGGTAATTTTTCCCGTATCTTTTATCAACTTTTTTGTTTATTTTAATTTAGATTTGACTGATTGAACAATTATTGGTTGAATAGCCGGCTGGTAATATTTGTTTAGGTGACGATGTACATTTAAATTTATGATGAATTATAGAACCGCTATTTACCCGATTACTTGTTTGATTTTGACGGGTAAGGGCGCGTGTCTAACCTATCTGGACGGCTATTCTTCAGTCTAAACCGTAGTTTGGATTTTACAGTTCTAAACAAATAATAATTAGTCGAATTTGGTTGTCGATCGTTTTGCGGATTTCGATTATCGTTTCTGAAAATATTCGGTTGCTTCGTTCGTGATGCCGAACACTCGTCAAAGGAAGTTAAGCGCAAGGCTCGTTGGCGTTAATGGTGAATCCCCTTTTACAAAGCAAGTGCCTTTTGATGTCTTTAAGTGTCATGGTTCAGACTCGAATAGGGTTGATTATCATGATAGTGACTCCAGTCTTAATTCGATGTCAGATGACGTAAAAAATCTTAGTCTAAATGGGAAGCAAAGGCTTGAAGTATCAGGAAAGAGCGTTATGCCTATAGCGCCTGTTGTAGGTTTAGAACTGCCAAATGTTGAATTGAGTTATTTCGATGGACAGTCGGGAGGGCATTGGAAGTTTATAAGGCAATTTGAGACCTACGTAACATCAAGAGTCACTGACGATAGCCAACGTTTGCTCTATTTGATGCACTCTTGTGAGAGCAAGGCAAAAACAGCTATTGAGGGTTGTTTCATGATGGAAGCATCTGCTGGTTATGAGGGAGCAAGGGAAATCCTAAAAGGTTTGTTTGTACAGTCTCATGTAATCACTTGAGAAACCTTGAAAGTGATACGTCTTGTCGATTGAACGCTATATTAGTTTCCTAAGCTATCTGATAACCCGCTGACTAGAACTACACAGCGACTTGAACACCAGAGAGAAGACACAAGTATGAGATAAAATACTTAATCCCATGGTTCATTTTTGTACAGAAAATCATGGGTATTAATAGATGTCGGTGTCTGTTAAATCAACATCATATTTCAGCCAACCAGTTAACGTCATATTATGCTACCTACCAATAATAGCACGCCACGCTGGAATTCTTGAACGTTCCATCGTACTCTGATTGGCTAGGATCGTTTGGCCCCTTTCGAGCCTCTGGTGGCTCCGTTGAAGTTCTTCGGAACCCGACTAAACACCTCCCCCTGAATAAGATTTCTTTCTGGGATCTACTTGTAGTTTGACGACTGAATAGCGACGGCGTCCCAGTATTCTTGTCGTTTTTCATTGTCCTGGCATCATTTCAGTGTTCCTGGGCATTTGTGGCATTGGTTCATCTAAGATAAAATCCAACGGAAAGTTTGGCCGGTGACTTCGAGTCTGCACCGTCCTTTTGTCCTTAAGGACTTGATTTGCGTGTCGTATACATGTCCCTAAGCTCCTCGAACTCTGTACGGAACTATTCCCAGTTTTTGCACAACTTCTCCTGGTTCCCATTGGTTCTTCCCGATGTAGGATTTAATGTAAACTTTGTCGCCAAGATTGAAGTTCCGGATACTTGGATCGTGACTGTGCTCATCCACTAATTTGGATGGCAACATGGCATCGAAGACGGTTCAAATACGCCTTCCGAACATGGCTTCCGCGGGAGACTTGCCGTCCGGAACATTCGGGTTCGGGGTGGATCTGTAGGATGTCAAACATTTTGTGATCACCTACTTTGTCGTCCCTTCGCCTCCCCCTTTCAGTAGTGCTCTTTTCAATGTATCCATGAAGCGCTCTGCCTGGCCATTTGATTGGGGGTGATACGGTGCAGATCGTATGTGTGCAATCCATTAACGTTGCAGAAGTGCTTGAATGATTCTGTCGTGAATTGTGGGCCGTTATCGGTCACTAAAGTCTGCGGGACTCCAAAGCAGCTAAGCAGGTTGGATAACTTGCTGATTGTTTCACTGGCTGTGCAATTCACCATGGCGTAGATTTGTGGCCATTTTGTGAGCGCGTCTACAATGACTAGATACATTCTTCCTCGTATTATTAATAATAATAATAATATATTTCTGCATTTGCAGGTACACACTGTTTTTACAGGCATGATCTATAAATTACAACATTTGTTGGTTCGCAAAATGCTTCCCAACTTATTAAGTTTATAGTTGTTATAAAGTGAAATCGTAGAGCGCTTGCTGTAAACTATGACCTTGAGAGGACGCGTACGTCAAGTTTGTTCCAGACGTCAGAAGTTTCATAGCTGTGCTCTCAGAGCAGGATTCTGAAGGAGAAAAAAAAGAGAAACAGAAGAGCAGCAAGGCACTTGGATATGAACGCCAAAGGTTGCTTAACATTGTGTACTAGAACGGACAGAGGTATAATAATTATTATACCACAATAGGCGCTAATGATGTCTCCATGAAACAAGTAATTATGTTTAACAACAGCAGAATAAGTTCATATAAACCGGATAATGTAGTAGTAGTTAACGGCCAGCCCGGTTTAGTTACTGACATAAAGGATATCCTTTATGTCAGTAGTAGTCCATCATATGATGGACTACTAAAATTTAGGACTTTCATTGACCCACGCAATTACTTTGAAGATCCTTTCCCATCTTGTGATATTGGAATCTTTATGTGCTCCGTAGTTAGCCATGAATACACATGGGTTTCAGTTAAGAACATTGATTGTAAATGTATAGCCATCAATTGTACCAATTACATAGTTGTAATCCCATTGTTGCATACTTTATTGTAAATGCATTTCGTTTCATTAGTGTTTAATTAGTGATGATAAACCATTTACTTACGTCTTATGTTCTTTTCAGCCCACTAACAAGAAATACGTTATTGTTGACGCCCTTAAAAAAAACAACTTTTGATAGCATCAAAAAAATGGATAGTTGGCAATGACCTTTGCGCTTTTCCGAATGAGATGGTCGATATACACCTTCAGAAGTGCGACCAACCTAATGACAATTGGTCACTTATGAAGTGTAAAGTTATTCATGAATTAGGTAAGCTACAATCATGGAAACTATAATTCACTATAGAATCTCTGCAGTCTGCAAAAGATCTGTTAGCTTCCCTGCAAAGACTGCAATCTCACCTTGAAAACACTTCAACGGATGAAAACACTCTGCCGCATAACACTGAGAAGCCCAAGAGGTCTGTACAATAATCTTACTAACATTTCCTAGAGGTGTAATGAAACGTAAAGATTTTCTTTACAATTCAGTAGACATGGATGTGGCTGAGATGCAGGCTGGGAATATCCGCGTACAATATCCCAAATTTCGTGTTTTCGACAAAGTGATATCTCCAATCGCCAAGTACGTTTAATTACTATTTACATATTCACTATGTAGTTCAACACAATTAGAGACATCACCATCGACATCGGAATGTAAGCATGTTGGTGGCGCTGTATTGGACCAGTAAGTGAACTGCATCATCTAGTGACCTTTTTCACCTGTGATAGGTTGTATGCTGTGGTGCTGAAGATGTCGTCAGCTATCAATGACTTGACTAAAACGATTAACAACATGTCGTCCGCCATTACGAACTTGAATGTTAATGTTAACCAATTGCTTTCAAAGTCTAATGAGCGCGAAAGACCGCATGAATTCGATTGCGGACTGTCAAGTCAGCAGTTCCCTTTGTCATCTGAAGAGGAACTACAGATGCTAGACACTGGTTTGTCGCAGAAAGAAACCAGGGACAGATTTGTAAGTCATTGACATGAATTTAATAATTTGTTACTATTACAGATGGCAATGGTCACTAGGTTATCAGGTGACGATCCAAAAACGTCCATGCGTTTTATTCTGTCGCATCTGCTGACACCGGAGGTTGCCAGTAAATTCACGTTACTTGGCACCTCTTCTAAACGAGCACTACATAAATGCACGTTTTACAGCTGCATACGAAGTAACCTATATCTATTACTTAAACTTCAGGTGCCTTAACTCATCGTTTTTTGTCATCCTCTGTAAATGAGAAAGACCTTGGTAAGCTATACGACATAGCGACACAAGGTTACTTTCACGACCTCCGAGACATGATGATAAAACGAAATAGAAGAAAAGAAAATCAGGTAGGTACTAATTTAAAGTGATAACCTCCCTACGGCTCTATAGTTACAGTCAACAATACTGACGAACATAACCGTAAGTTCAGCTTCAAGCATTTGGTTGTGCAAAACCATGTCATTGAGATATGGTTGTGACTTTTTTTGTTTTTTTTAAAATTCAGAATTCACAGGACGACTACCCCAATTGTGATTAGTCCGAGCAAATGCTTTGATGTTGTACCTCGATTTCAATAAACATTATTCATTCAAACAGCTTACTCTTTTACGTACATGGGAAACTGTTGAAGTGTTGAGAATGTGTGTTTGAGTTTCAGTGAACTATTGATTAAATGCACATTTCTTATGAATACATCATAACCTGTTCGTTCTTTTTCAGATAATTTCAAATAACAATGTATTAGCAATTGTATTGGATATGCATAACAATCGATGCTTCACCTTGTGCTCTACTGTTGTACAATAATACGCTTTTCTTTTTCAATAAAATTTTTGAAATATTTACCACTTTTCCACTGCATTGCAGATATATTTTGGTCTGTTGTTGAAAATAAAGGCGAACATAGGAGACCTTTGGGGTTCTGTCGATGGATAGAAAATAGTAGGTAATGTGTGTATTTAGGCGAAAAGTAGACAATTAAGCGCATAAGTAGGCAATTCGGCGGATATTTAGGCGAAAATGCGAAAATTCAGCGGATATTTAGGCGAAAATGCGAGAATTCAGCGGATATTTAGGCGAAAATGCGAAAATTCAGCGGATATTTAGGCGATAAGTCCGTAATTTGTCGACAAAAAGGCGAAAAAGGGGAAAATCCGCATTATTTCCCCCGGACAGGCGAAAAAGGCGACATTCTGGCGCGTTTTCCCCTATATTTCCCTTTCGCTACCATAGCATTTACCCCTTTATTTCCCCCTTTTTCCCCTTTATTTCCCCTTTTTGTGTTGTTTGGGGGAAGCGGTTTATTAGAAGGGTATGTATATAGAGGGTGAAGTGTTAAGAATACTGGTGACTATATCTTTTATTGTCTTTTTTCTTTTCTTTTTTTGTCCATCCGATGTCAGCCACGCAATCCTAGTGTAAAAGTCTGAGTTAGCATGTTATAGGTTGTCTTAGTAGAATAGCTAATCCAGCATAATATTGGAAACATGAGTCTTAGTGGTGAGCGTTGGAAGACAATCTGTATCTTAGATTGACTGTCTTATTCTCAGTTATAAAGAGCCTGATACATACAAAATGTTCTGTCCCCACAAACACGGGTGGATTGAAGTTATCGCCCTCACCATCAATGCTTGCTGGTCAGTAACTCCACCCTCCCTCCTTTTGTGATGTTAGGCTCATTTAGGCTTATTTTTGTATATACGTCATACCTCACACAATTCTCTGTGTTTCACAACCTGTTGGAAAGCACTATTTCTATAAGTACCATTTTACAAGCTTATCAGGCAGTTACAAGCTATGGACTGTGGATAAAGCATCGATGCAATGCCTCTGTTGACTATAGTATAAAGTATAGTTTGCCAATCAGAGTATAAGCGTTAAGAAGGGTATATTGTAGGATAGTTGTTTATTTAAGCAGGTGGAAAAAGTATGGAAGTATATGAGTTGTACATAAGGTAACGAGTGGAGAAATAATATTAATTGCTAGTCAACATAGTGTACTGAAGAGTAAAAAGTTAATACAGGATAAACTGGAAGGAACTCACAGTAACTTGGTGCTGATGTTATTTTCTGTTGTCTTAACCAGTTGATTGGTAACAGGTTCCATAGATGCAAGACCACTGGTAGTAGGCAGCCGATTGTGCGGTCCTCTTGACTTTTTAGGGTGGTAGTGAGTGTCCCTTATCGACCGAGTTTAGTTTAACAGTAATGATAGGTCCAGTGAGTTGCCTGTCTACTTCAAGTGAAGAAATGGGGTGGAAAAAGTAATTAATACAACTGCAAAGTAGGAAAAATAGGGCAAACTGAACTTGAAGTCCATTTTAGTCTAGACATGGAAAGAGCCTATGATGTCTGAGTGGGGCGCAGATGTGTTCGTACGTGCAAGATCAGTGCGAGTGAGGGCTTGATCAAGCAGTTTCACAAACGTATGTAGTTCATCTGCCATGCGAGTCTCGGAGGGAAGACTGTTCCATATTATTGCATACTTGGTGAGGAAGAAGTTTTCCCGAGTTTTTGATCTGTATTTCTCAACTTTGACCGTAGATACTTTGTTTCGAAGTCCGTATTCATGTGAGTCTCGGGGAAGAATTATCTGACATGTTGAATAAGTAAGGTTTTTGAGTAGTTTGAAGTAGAGAATCAAATTAGACCTAAGCCTTCTCTCCCAAAGGGGTGCTATTCCTAAGATTTGGCATCGAGAACTGTAGTCAATGACCGAGTCAGTCTTAAGTACTTTGCGGGTGAAGTCTCGTTGTATTCCTTCCACCTTTAGTATATCAGATAGACGTAGGTTGGAAAATAAGAACGAGCAGTATTCAACGATAGGTCTTACACAAACTTTGTAAAGAAGGATTTTAGATTCATTTTGATAGAAATTACGGAGAATGAAGCCAAGCAATTTCCGCATTTTGGATGCTTTTGCTGAGATGTGTTCAGAGAAATTAAGACTGTGTGAGTAATGTACCCCTAGGTCAGTTACTGATGCCAGTCTGGGCAGTGTGTGATTGCTAAGTGTTAGTTTCATTTTAAGAGACGTGTCTCCTATACATAACCAGCCGCATTTCTCTATGTTGAGCTCTAACCTCCAGCGTTTGCACCAGTTATCTACCATGTTGAGTTCATGTTGGATTGTTTGCAGAGTACTGCGTAAATCGCAAATGTCAGTTTTATAGATGACTTTTAAGTCATCGGCATAGAGGTGGGTCTTACCTGTGCTAAAACACTTGCATATATTGTTGATGTAGATTATAAAGAGCAATGGACCCAAGACACTACCCTGCACAACACCACTGGTTATCGGTCGAGGTGTAGATGTATTAGAGTTAATCTTGGTTATTTGATATCTGTTCGTAAGAAAAGACTTGATCCATTGCAAAAGGGGATTTATAATTCCAACTGACTTCAGTCTGTTGATTAGAAGATTATGAGGTACTTTATCAAAGGCTTTCTTAATATCGAATTATAGTATAATAACTAGTTTCTTCTGGTCACGCATACGAGTAACCTCGTTAAAGAAGTCTATCAGGCATGTACTGCACGACCTTGTTCTAATGAAGCCGTGTTGTGACGGGTCTATTAGATCTTCCTTGAGTAGGTGATCAGATAGTTGATTTTGTATCACTTTTTCCATTATGCGTGATATGACTGGAGTGATATTTATAGGTCTGTAGTTCTCAACCAGGTTTCTCGGTCCGGATTTGTGTTTGGGAAGAACATACGTTACCTTCCAGGTTTCCGGATATGTACCTGTCTCTAAAGATAATGTGTATATTTTGAGTAGTAGCGTCTGTATGTCCGGCCCTGACATTTTATAAACGATTGAAGGGATGTCATCGGCACCAGAACTCGCATTTGGCTTAAGGGTTTTAATGGCGGTATGTATACTCCTAATGTCGAAGTTTATGGTACTAAGATAGTTTTTGCCGGTGCACTTTATGTCGATATCTGGAGCATCAGATGTATTCCCATTGTGAGAAAACCATTCACTTAATAGTTCACATATGACGGTTTGGTCATTATACGTTACTCCATCGTGCAGTAAGGAGTGAATGTTGTGGTCTGTGTTCTTTCTTATGCGTTTCGTGAGGAGACGACATAGGGCTTGGGCTTTAGATGCAGCAGCGAGCGCAGTACGTTCCTCTACCTGTTTATGCTTGTTGTGTTGACTTTGTACTCCGTCAAGTACAGAGTATATCTGGTGCAGGGCACTGAAGTCTTTTGATATATAGTACATCCTTTTCAGTTTTCTCAGTTTCGACCTAGTCTTTTGGTTTATATAGGGAGTAACTGTTTTAAAACCAATTTTAGAGGGTATAGTAGTGTCTAGTGTAGATTTGGTGGTGATATTGAATATTTCTAATGTTTCTAAGAGGTTATTACTGGTAAAGAAACTGCCCCAGTCAGAGTGTTTTATTAGAAATCGAAAGTTTTCCCTGCGAAGTTTTCCCGGCGAAGTCTGCATGCAGCCTCTCCCAGGGACTATTCGGCTTTTCCCATTGTTGCGGTTCACACTTGTTTGGACTTTTGGCTGCTTGTAAGCACGATGAACAATTGAGGCATCTGGTTTCGATATCTTGATCCATCGTAGGCCAGTATGCGTAGCTTCGAGCTAATGCTTTCATCTTATTGATACCAGGATGCCCGCTGTGGAATTGTTTCAGAACCTTGTAGCGTAACACTTTTGGAACGATAATTCTGTCACCAAACATAATACATGAGTCGACCATCATAAGTGAGTCCCGTCGGCGAAAATATTGTAGCATTTCTCCTTGAAAACGACGGTTCGGCTACTTGGTGAGAAGATAACCACTAACCTCTCTTAAAGTCTTGTCATTTTCCGTGGCTTCTTTGATGGCCTTGAAAGCAAATGATAAACCATCAACTGCGTCTTCCAAAACTCGATGTACTTCTGTTTCCGTCTTGACTGCTGCCACCAAAGTGTCTTCTTTCTGTTTTACTTGTGGACCAATCAGTCTAGATAAAGCGTCAGCTCGTCCAAAATCAGTGGTGGACTGGTACTTGATCTTGAAGTCATAACCCAAGAGTGTAGTTCCCCAACGTTGCAGTCTGTTTGCAGTGTATACAGGTATACCTTCCTTCGACCAAAAGATGGCTAGTAATGGTTTATGGTCAGTTAATAGGGTGAACTGACGTCCAAATATCATCTTGTGAAATTTCTTGACAGCGAAGATAATCGACAATGCTTCCTTCTCGATCTGACTACAATTACGTTCTGCTGACGTTAACGATATCGCTTTCTCGGATCCACCAGGCATAATGTGAGAAATAACTGCTCCAATGCCGTAGTTTGAAGCGTCTGATGCCACTACAATGGGTAAAGATGGATCGTAATGGGTGAGCAGCAGATCCGAGACTAGTACTTTCTTGATTTCATCGAAAGCGGCTTGGCAAGTTGCAGACCAACTCCATTTTACATTCTTCACCAGAAGGTTATTCAGGGGGGCACGTAATTGATGAAGGTTCGGAATAAAAGCTCCATAATGGCTAACTAGTCCCAAGAAGGATCGTAGTGTGGGAACATCCGTCGGTCTGGGCATAGTTTTCACTGCCGGGGTATTCTACGGATCTGGTCTTCTTCCATCTTTGTCGATGATAAACCCGAGGTAGCGTACTTTTTGCATACAGAAGTCACATTTCTCTGGACGAAGTCGAAGTCCATATTCGGCTATTCGCGTCAGCACCCAGTCGAGCTTCTTTTCTAAGTCTACTCTATCTACTCCCATAATTATTATATCATCTAGGTCAGCTGCAGCACCTGAGACATCTTGAAGCATAGTATCCATTATTTGCTGAAATATGGATGGGGCCGTCTTGACTATG